CGATGCCCAGTGGCACCATGGTCCTCGGTGTCCCCGTCCCTCCTGCTAGCACCAATCCCTGACAGTGGCCTGGTCCTCGCGTGGTTCTGGTTTCTGTCTGTGTCTCAGTGACTTCAGGCTCTCCTCCACTCGGCGTTGGCCTTCTGGTGCCCATGCCAGCTGCCTGGGGCGTATCCTGAGAGCTCCCCCAGCTCACACAGAAAGGGGTGCTTCTCCTCCCGCGTTGCCCCTCTCTCCCTGACTCTCTTGGCTCCGGATGGTCTGATTGTGCAGAGCCACACTCAGCCCGCCTGTCCTTTCCTCTGTGGTGGCCCAAGTAGCCACACAGCCATGAGAGAGGGACACACACGTCCCTACTTGGAAGTCCGCTCAGGCCATCTGTCCTCTTCCCTGAAGAAGCTATTTCCACGCTACCTCTGTGGCCTGTGGCCCACCCCAGAGGCTCAGGGCACCCAGGTGTTCCGCTGTGGGCAGACGTGGCTACGGGACCTGCAGCCCCACCTGGGGGGCGACTACGGGACCATCACTGCTGAGAAAGGACTGGGTGCAGCTGTGTCCTGCGTGGGGGGGTGGATCATGTCCCCGAGACTCCACCGAAGGACCAACCCCTGGTGCCTGTGAATGGGCCTCACTGAAAATGGGCCCTGGGGACGAGTAAATGACGTGTCTGGAGAAGGGACACTGGAAGAGGCACTAAGAGGACAGCACATGACGACAGTGACAGAGCTGGAATGATGCACCCACGAGCCCAGAACACCAAGGACACCAGCCACGCCAGCCCCTGTGAGGAAGGCACCGCTGGGTTCCCACCCTGAGCCCTCAGTGCAGCCCGGCCCTACCGATGCTGCCACTGGGGACTTCCGGCCTCCAGGCCTGTGCGAGTCCATTTCCGCTGTCCTACACCTCCCAGGTTGTGGCATCTTACTGGACTTAGGCACTGTCCCACCTGCGGAGAGCCAGTGGTGACCCTTAAACCCATCACGTGGCCCAAAAGGTCACACGGCGCTGTCCCACTCAGTCACGATGAGTGCTGTCATCCACGGTGGCAGTGCAGTCACCCAGACGCATGTCGGCTCCCGGGGCGTGGCTCCGGGCACCAGCTCAGGTCCCAGCTCATGGTTCCGAGCACCGGGTCGGCTCCCGGGATGTGGCTCCAAGCACCGGGTCAGCTCCCGGGACATGGATCCGAGCACCAGGCTGGCTCCCGGGATGTGGCTCCGAGTACTTGGGGTGGCTCCCAGGGACGTGGCTCTGCAGACTCGGTGACTCCCATGGACGTGGCTCTGAGCACTCGGGGAAACTCCTGGGACACACCTGGGCAGGTACACCCAACTGGAGCCCTCGAGCCCAGCCCCTGCCCACGCCTGCCCTGCGTCCTCCTCCTGTGCCTGAAAGCCAGATGCACTTGGTCAGCATCGGGAGCCCACACACTTACAGGAGGGCCCCCGATGCGTGGTCGGCGTTGTTGTTGTCGTCGAGTGATGTCACAGCAGGGGGTGCCGTTGGCCTCCACCAAGCCAGACCCGGCCAAGATGCTGGGGCCAGGCCTGCACCGGGGAAGTGCCTCCCGGGGCTCCTGGAGGTCTGGGAGGCTGGAGGCCTGCCGTTGACCACCTTCGGCGTGGGGAGTGGATGCGTCTATAACTGTGAGGCCTGTGAAGAAGTCGGCTATTCGTCGATTATTTCCCCTAGTTCGTACCGTCGGTTACATGACAAACCCAGACTCAGTACCCAGCATCCGCCTCTCTCGAATACCCCGAAGCCAGCTAAGCCCATCCTCTTCAGTCTGACTGCCACCAGGCCACACGCATCCAAGTCCCCTGAATGCGTGCATGTGTTGGTGACTCTAGTGATGTATGCTTTCAAATTACTTTGTATATTTTTCCAGAATAGGTTTCACGTGACACGAAAGGCAAAGATGAAAGCGGAGGTGGGGCAGGACGTCGGGAGGCAGGCCCAGGAGTGCTCTCGGACGCCTGCGCTGCAGGAAGTGTGCTCAGCTCCTGCACGAAGGGAGGAGGGCGCTCTGGGTAAAGGGACAGCGGTCAGTGCTCACTGCGGAGGGCCTTCAGGACAAAGGCGGCGTGAGGCACCGGTGCAGTTAGGCACCCCAGACAGCTTGGAGGAGGCAGGCCTCTCTAGAGGTGGGAGAAACAGCGAAATAAGCCCGACTCCAAGTTACCGTGACACAGAGCGAAGGATCATACTCGAAATTGATCATTAGCGATTTTCTTTGGAATCAACAACTTTTTTTGAAATCAAAATAACTCTTCCTGAGGCTAAAAAGCCCCTTGATACTCCCCAAATCTGCTAGAATGCTGGAAAGAGCTGTCGAAGAACAAAGGGTCAGGAAGTGATTGGGGATTTTTAAATGAATGGAATCAACTTCCTTGTCTGTTGTTATTTGCTTTCTTTTAGACAGCAGGCTTTTGGTTGTCCTGGAGTGTCAACTGAGGCCCTCTCCCTGCAGAGCAGCTCCTGCAATGAGATAAACAGCTGGGTTCCCCGAGCCGGATCACTGGCCCCAAACATGGATGGGGTGAGCCAGACTACTGGGGACAGAAGCCACTCTGGGAGAGCGGTCCTGAGCCCCAGGTCGACCACGATATGCAGGATGGACTCTAAGCCCTGGAGATGGCCGGCTGGGCTGGCAGCGAGGAGGCACTGCACGACAGTCACAAAGCCAGGCTGGTATCTCTCTCCACCACTTCTCTACACCGCTTCATTTTAATTTTAAAGTTCTATCTATCTCTTCTAGGAGTGAGAAAGGTGAGAGAGACAGCACCTCTGATGGGTCTTGATGCCACTATCCACCCCAGCTTAGCCAACCCCAGGCCATGGTCCAGCCCAGCCTGCTCACAGACGTCTTGAACCGGGAACCCTCGACTGTGGGATTGCCTTGCAGAGCATTTAACACTGAGCCAGCATCTGGTCCCACTTCCTTTGTATTTTAATCCTTAAAATAGATAAAAAAGGAATTTAAGAAAATCTTTTTAAAATACGTGTAAGAACCGTAAAAGTATTTATATTTCCTTGCCCTAGTAATTCTGTTTCTAGGTAATGTCATGAGAAAATAATGAGAAGAGCATGGAATGGATTATGAGTAAGCACGTCCACTGAAACATTCTTTATAATACAGAGAAGCTGGAAACAAACCCAATACACAAAAATAAGAAACAGTAAAGTCAGTCAGTCCACGGGTATGATGGAGTACTATGCAGTTATGCAACAATTACATTTTCAGAGGTATCATTAATTGATAAAAATGACCAAGCTTTAATATTTTTGTCAAAGGCAGATGCACAGTCACATGAAATCTTGGTGTTAAATATGTGTACGTGGGTCTGCACGTATGTGTGTGTACTCGCGTATGAATCAGAAAGCAGCACACCAAGATGTCAACCGTCATGTACACGCGGCAGGATCGTGCGATCACAGTGCCTGTTTCGGTTCTTTATGTTTTCCAAGATGTTTCTAGAGCGCCTATACCGCCTTCGCAGAAACGACAATGATCTCGAAGGCTCTGGTACTCGGGTACATTTCTTCACAGTGGAGGATTGTCTCTCTGACGTCAGAAACGTGGAATGGAGTTTCGGCGTTGTACTGACATGGGCACGGCAGGACGTTGGAAGCCAGGCCCTGACGACTCCGCAGACACTCCGGAGCGCTGGGTCTCAGCCAGTGTGTCCCGAGCACTTGTTACGTGCTGGCCGCTGGGCTCACACCCGGAGCCTGGGGACCACGGGGAGCAACGGCAGCACGGGAGGCCGCTGTTCTGGTATGTGCATGCCCCACAGGCCGGCCACACGCACCCTCGAGCTCACCCCAGGAAGGCTCACTCTCACCTGGCTGCTCAACCAGGCCTCCCTGAAGCTTGGCCGCGATGCATTTGCAGGTTCCCGGCAGGACCCGGAGGCTGCTTCATGGTTGCTGTTGTGTCCCAGGGACGTCCGCTGGCGAGAGCCTTTGTTACACAGCTGTGCAACCCGCTGCTTCCTGGAGTTCTCTCCAGCCACGGAGGACTTCCTCATTGATCCATGGCTGCTGGTTCCTCTGTGTCAGCTTGACAGGCTCGTAGCTGCCAAAGAAAGTCCCTCACTCTGTCTCCAATTTATACACTCTGCTTTCCAATGGCCTTGCTTGCATTTGATAAACATCTCAAAATACTAGGAAGCAGGGACTTGGGGACCAGTTGACCCAATCCCTGCATGACTGGATCCTTGGGGCTTCTGTATCCCTAAAGAAGCTGAGGGTAGAACCAAGCCAGCACCTTCCGTCACCGAGAGTTAAGTCCCACCGTGTGGCAGGTGGTGGCCTGTGTGACAAGCACGCTGCCGGGTCACTATGGCTCGGTCACAGGAACCCATCTCCCTTCCTTCCATGTACCGGCATCTTTAACAGCAGTGCAGACATGCAGCAGCTTACAAACTGCGAGGGGCTTTCAAAGGACGTGGCCCGATACCAATCATATGACACGTGGGACTCTCGCATCTGTACACAGGCGGAGTGGCCACAGGGCCAGATGGCAGCTCGCTTCGTAACTGCACTGCCGTGACCACCTGGCAACAGAGGGCTGGTCCCTCAAAGCACCAAGGAAGCGAGTGGAGGGGAGGAAGAGGGAGGGAAGAAGAAGGAAGAAAAGGGGAGAGGGAGGACAGCGAAGGGAGGGGAAGGGAAGGGAACAGAGGGGGGAAGAGAGAGAAGGGAAGGGGGGGAGAGGAGGGAAGGAGAAGGGAGGGAAAGGGAAGAGAGGGGAGAGGAGGGGAGGAGAAGGGAGAGGGAAGGGAGGGAAGAGAGGGAGAGGGAAGGGAGGGGAAAGGAGGGGAGGAGAAGGGAGAGGGAAGGGAGGGAAGGGAGGGGAGAGGAGGGCAGGAGAAGGGAGAGGGAAGAGAAGTGAGGAAAGGGAGAGGAAGGGAGGGAAGGGAAGGGAAGGGAGGGGAAGGAAAGAGAGGAAGGGAGAGGGAGGGGAAGGGAGAGTAAAAGAAGGGAGGGGAGAAAAGGCAGGGGAAAGAGAAAAGAGAAGGAAAGAAAAAGGAAAAGAAAGAAAGAAATAAAAAGACATTTGGGGCAGAAAACGTTCTAATGGTAACCCACCCTTTCCTGCTTTGTTGAAGAGGGTAGGAAACTTTATTTCACTTCTTTTCTGTTTGCTTCGCTCTTGAAGCAGTGAGGACGACCCATGGCTGCACAGGCCTCAGGGCTGAGGTGGCTGGCCTGCGCAGGGGAGCGGGCGCACAGGGGGCCCACGCCCGAGCCCGGGGGGCCTTGGCCGGCCTCCTGCGCAGGCTGGTAGCAGTGCCCCCTTGGCGCACCGGCCTATGGCAACCTCTCCTGGCCCGCCTGTGCTCACCCCTCCGGACCGAGTGCGCAGCCCCGGGCTTGCAGGGTCAGCCTGCAGGCCAGCTCCTTATGAGAACAGTGCACGTGCGGGAAAAGTGCTTCTCCAGGTTAGTCTCTGCTTTCTCATCCCTTGTTTCTAAGCTATCTCCTCGACAGGAGAGGTCATGTGATGGCTCAGTTCTGGGAAAAGTAAGGGTGATTGAAGGGTCGCCGACAGGGCTGGCTGCAGGTCCTTGTCAGCGCCCCGAAGTTTAAAAACGGTGACAGCTCTGTGAATTGATGACTGAGAAAACCTTCTCGGGCCTCTGAGTGTTCTTGTTTGTATGCTCGGGAGACGCTCCGTGTATGCAGGAACGAGCGTTCTCCGATGCCGGCGTGCCCCTCTCCTCCCAGCAGGTTTCCAAGGCCCATTTGCACGCTGGCTGCACGGGGCTGTGGGTCAGTGCCGTCCTCTGGCAGTTCCAGCCCTTCAGGGTTTCCTGGCAGAAGCCGCCAGTGCACTGGGACCTTGAAGTCCTTCACATTCGACCCTGCGAAGCTCCCGATTCACAGCCTTGACTCTTCGCTCTGGCACTCCCGGAGGGGCAGAAATAGCCATCCTTCCAGAAAGGTCCACGTACTGGTCCCTGGACCCTGGACGCCTCCACGGCTCTCTACACCAGCGCTCACCTGCAGAGCTGTGGCGAGGCCCGCTTGGCAGTCAGCATGTTTGCTTTGTGTTAAAGTTCGACTCACAGAAATCGAACGCTGTTTGCCCAGCTCTGTGCAGGCCGTGTGCAAATGGCACCTGTGAACATGCCTCTGTGCGTATTCGGGACCCCCCTCCCACGTTCCTCACGGCACTGAGTGTGCAGGACACCAGCCAGGGCCAGACTCTGGCCAGCAACGAAGCGCTCTGGCGTGGCTCCTGTGCCCGTGTTCAGGGTGCCAGGTGGCCGCCTGCACCCTCAGGGCTCACTGGTTGATGATCACACGCTCTCTCAGACTCCTGAGCTCCTGTGCGTGGGCACTGGTGCAAACCCTGGGTGCTGTGGCAGTCGGCGGTAACAAGAACTCGTTAGAAACTGGGCTCCGCGGCACTCCGCTGCTGTCCAGCACTCGCGCTCTGGTCTCCGTCCGTTAAACCCCGTCCCAGGTGCCTTAAGACTCTAGTTCCTTCATCCCTCATAACGACTTTGTGAGGCAGGTGCTATTGCCCCGTCTCACAGATCTGCAAACCGAAACGTGAGGAAATTCATTTGTCCGCGGTCACACTGCTACTAAGTGACAGAACCAGCAAGCCAAATCTAGGCCCGGACAGAGCAGGCGTGTAGTCCCGGCACCATGCTCCCCGGCCAGGGAGACGGGAGTGGTGGTCTGTACTGCACCTCCTTTTCTTTTTCAGACAAATCGAAGCAAAACTGACACTTTAAACATCTACTATATTTGCTTTCAAATATTAAATATTACTTAAATAAATTAGATATTTCTGAACTACAATAAATAACGATAAGCCTTCCCATTCACCCTGGTTATTGAAATAAGAGAGGAGCAGTCATTTAGGCTTCGACCTTTGCTTCCGATATTCAGAGCCCCCAGGAATGGCCAGAGCTGGCTTTTCTCTGTCTGAACCTTCCACGTGAGGGCAGGAGCCCCATCTGCCTGGTTCTCTGAGGGCCGCAGTCCCCACCTGACACCTGACTTGTGGGTGCTAAATACAACTTGATAAGTGGGTAAACGGGAAGCCGTGCTGAGGGAGCCCAAGGCGATGGCAGGAGCTGCTCCTCTGTCCGTGCGGCTCTGAGCATTCCGAGAAAACAGCCACACGGGGAAGTCAGCCCAGCCCCGCAATGCATGCCCACGTTCCCCACTTCTATTCAGCATGGCACCAGAAGCACTAGTGAGTACCATCAGGTGAGAAAGAAAGGGAAAAAGAAAGGGAAAGAAAGGGAAAGAAAGGACATACAAATCAAAAAGGGAAAAGTAAGATTTTTCCTATTTCTAGGCGGCATGATCCTATATATATAGAAAACCTTAAAAACCCCACAAAGAAATTGTTAAATGAGTTCAGTAAACTTGCAGGATACAAAATCAATGTACAGATATCAGTTGCATTTCTTTATATTATTCAATCTATTCAAAAAAGAAATCAAGAGAACAGTCCCACTTACTAAAGCACTGAAAAGAAGAAAATATTTAGAAATAAAACTTAACCAAAGAGGTGAAAGATAGGTACATCAAAACCTATAAAACTTTGTTGAAAGAAAACGAAGATGACACAAATGGGGAAGATATTCCATGTTCATGGATTAGAAGAATTAATAATGTTTGTTACTCAAAACAGTATAAAGAGTCAATGCAATTTCTTTCAAAATGCCAATTACATTTTTCATAGAACTAGAAAAAATAGTTGTAAAATGTATATGGAATCACGAAAGGCCCTGACTAGCCAAAACAAACTCAAGACAAAAAGTCAGAGGTATCACATGTTCTGATTTCAAAATATAATATAAAGTTGTAGTCCTCAAAATAACATAATTGTGACATAAAAAAACTAGACACATAAACCAGTGAAACAGAACAGAGAGCTTATAAATTAATTTAAGCTTATATAAGGGAGCTTCAAAAAGTTTGTGGGGAAAATGGAATTAAAGTAAGAGTATTTTGGTGCCAAAATACTTTAAAATATAGGCATAGTTTTTTCACAATACACATTTTTCCATCAACTTACTGAAAAAACTCTTATATGGTCAATTAATTTTTTACGAGAGCACCAAGATGACACAACAGACAAATGACAGTCTCTCCAATAAATGTGCTGGGTAAATATGAGATGTAAATATGTGAAATTTAAATACTTTTCTTACACATATACAAAAATCAACTAAAAATAGGTTGGAAGACAAAGTGTATTATCCTCCTTAAGTTCTTTCCATACACTCTCCCCTGTCTCCTACCCTCTCCCCACATTGTCTCCAGTATCTATAACCATTTTCAATGCTTCTGTGCCCTTTCATCTTTCAGTTCCCACCACAGAGTGAGGACAGTTGTGCATGTTAAGTGAAGACATACAATATCTCTCCTTCATAGCCTGGCTTGCTTCACTTAGCAGTAAATCTTCCATATTTGCCCTCTTTCTATCAAATGCCAGGGTCTTGTTGCTTTCTATGGCCGAGTAGTATTCCACAGAGTATATGTGCCACACTTTTCCAATCCGTTCTTCTGTTCATGGACATTAGGGTTGGTTTCATATCTTAGCAACTGTGAATAATGCTACAATAAACAGTTACGAGACACATAAATGGGTTATTATCTGTTGATGATGATGTGTTTTATATCCTCAACTGGACTGGTGTGAAGTGTATTATGTTGGATAAACTCAACTTACAAGCTAAGTGACATATAGTAATTAAATGTATAAAATAATAATAATAAGGGCCAGTGGCGTGATGGTTAAGGTGCTTAACTTCCACATGGCTGACTGTGGTTTGAGTCCCAGACCTGGTGCCTTGAAAAATCACACCAGGCAGGTGTGTGTGTGTATGCCCCGAATCCCAAGACAATGGAGAAGAAGGGATTGCAGAGTGACCATCCCCCTGAGAGGGAGGGCGATTTCTCACTTTTCCTCTCTTTGTTTCTCTCAGCAAGCGTACATGCCCTGTGGCAAAAATCCTAGGACAGAAAGAAATAAAGAAAGAAAGGAAGGAAGAAAGAAAGAAATGTAAGACCTGAATCCGTAAAACTCCTAGAATAAAACATAAGGGGAAAGCCCCTCGAGAGTGGCCTTGGCCAAAAGCTCAGGCAACCACAGGGAAATAAGCAAGAGGGACAGTGTCAGACTCGCGGACTTCCGTACAGTAAGAGGGACAGTTAACAAACTGAGAGCAACGTGTGTTTGGGGAAGACATTTGTAAACCATAAATCTGATAAAGAGTTAACATCCAAATACATAAGGAACTTACACAACTGAATAGCAAACAACAAATAACCTGATTTAAAAATGCGCAAAGTGCTTAGCAGACATTTTCCCAAAGGAGACATAAACATGGCCAACAGGAATATGAAAAGGTACTGAACATTCCAGTCATCAGGGAAATGCAAATCTATGAGCTATCTCCTCATCTGTTAGGGTGATTAAAAACACACCAGATAACAAGTGTTGGCAAGGGTGTGAAGAAACAGAACTGTGACACTTTTGGTAACAATGAAAATTGTTTAGGTTCCTCAAAAAACTAAAAATAGAACAATCATATAGGGGCAGTCAGTGGCAAGGTGGTTAAGGTGACTGGATCCCATATGCCTGACTGTATGGTTCAAATCCTAGACCCAGCAGTTTGAAAAACACATCAAGCACATGTATGTACATGCCCCAAATCCTGAGCAGTGAATGGAGGAAAAGGAACTGCGGCATGACCATCCTCCCCCAGGGGAGTGCTTTCTCACTTTCCCTCTTTCTCTCTGTCTCTCTGTCTCTCTCCAGTGAGTGAACTCACCTTAGAGCAAATTAAAAACAAGCACACATTTCTGTGTGACCCAGCAAGACTTCGGCTGAATACATGCTGCATACATGAGCCCACACCTCCCATGCTCATTGCTGCGTTATCCACAACAGCCAAGCTATGGGGACAGTCAAGTGGGTAGAGAAGTTGTCTCACACACACACACACACACACACAGTGATGTATCTACACATACGTGCACTCGGGGCCGGCCGAGGCCCAGGAGCTTTGGGCGCAGCCTTAGCAGGTCCAAGGCGGAGGGTGGAGGGCGGAGGGCAGAGCCAGCAGGAGAACCCTCAGCCAAGCCGTGCCGCTGTGGTCCCACAGCACAAAGGAGACCGACAGCCCACCACAACTGCCATAGCAGAAGAGGAGGCGCTGCGTGACAGGTCTGCAGGCACTCAGTCGGACTCGAGCCAGACCCAGGACCTAACAAGAGACAGACGGTGTGAGAGCAAGGGCTTCATGTAAATTAAACATGAGCCCACAAGGTGTGCCTGAGCAGCCGCGGGCTCTCGTTTTTCAGGCTGTGTATTTCCTGTCGTCAGATGCAACATTTCTGACAGGGAGAGCGTGGGTGGGGCTAGACTTTATTACTGACTGAAAAATCACGGTAATTTGCTCAAGAACGTTGAATGACTCCTACATTCTTGTTAAAAAAAAAATTAAAAAGCAGCTCTGAAATGGATGGCTCCGTTTAATCAAATCACTGAAGACCCAACACCAGCAAGACCACCCAGGTCTCGGCACCATGCCTTCCTGAAGCGCTGGCCTCCTGCCCCTCGGAAGGCGGGGTCTCCTCTTATAATTAAGGCTCTTGGTTCCTTTCATGCTGCTGAGTAACTCGGCCCGGTACCTGGCAGGGGATCACCTGCTCGCTAATAACCAGCCGGCACGCCCTGGCACGAACACCAGCGGACCACACGGACGCCGTCTCACGGAGGCAGGTGACAGACTCCGGCAAGTAGCAAGGGCAGGGCCGTGTCCCTCTGAGCTCACAAAGGGTGCTCCCCCTGAGCACGCCGCCGTCACTGCGGGAGCCCACAAACCCATTCTGAGAAAGAAAAGTGGGACGGTCTGGCTCTTGAAAAGCTTCCGTGTCTCCCTGTGCTCCCCAGGCGACCATGAGGGTCGAGGCCGGCGCCTGCGGGAAGGCGGGCCTCAGCAGGGTGAGCCACCGGTCCCCGAGGCACTATGTCCAGTTTCTCAATCTAACTTTGTTTAGTTTGGGAAAAACATTTTTTGGTCATGAAAAAAAAGTCACTGTGGTTTCTCTCCTACTCCCACCCTCTGTAATCGCCACTTAGAAGAGTTTTACCATCTTCCCATGAAACCAAAAAAATGAGGATGCTGGGCAGACAGTCTTTGTGTCTGTTCTCCCACCTCCCTCTGCTCGGGCAGCCCGTCTGCCCGTTGCCCCTGCACACCCTTCCCTGCCGGCCGGCCCTCTCTCTCAGCATCCAGCCCCACGCCCGCCCCCACACTCGCACTGCAGTGGGGCGGAGGTAGTCCGGGTCCTCTGCCCATGCAGCGCCCACACACCCTCTGCCACATCCCGACTTGGGATTAGCCCGCTCCAGGGGAGTCACCACTTCCTCCCTGCTGCGTCCTGGTTGCCCCTGTTCCCAGGCTGCTTCCTGTCCCGGCGAGCTCCTGCAACTCAGTTCACCCATCGCCAATAGCCCCTGGGCTGCTGCTGTGTGTCCGCTGCATTGTGCAACACGGCTCTGTACCTGCCCCTTCCCGTGTGTAGGCACCCGGGCGGCCCTTCTCCACCAACACGCTCTGCGGGATTCCTCTCTCTCCCTGACTTTCCCAGCGCCAGCCTTCGCCTGCCTCGTCCTCACGCTCTGGGCCCCGCCTGCTGCTGGCGACCAGTCCTGGGCTCCGCACCCTTTGCCAGGCAGGGGCAGGGGCAGTGGTGAGCGGTGCCTGAGTCACGGCTCCGGGTGCTCCTAGGGCTCTGCCAGCGGCTGACGCACTGAGTGAGCACAGGCGAGTCACTTCCCTCCAGCCGACCTCCCAGCTTAGGCTCTCTGCACATCTGGAAAGACACATCTGGCAGGAATGTGGTGTCCTCCAGAGGGTGACTACAGAAGTCATGGCCAGCTTTCACTTTCCAGAGCAGCAAGGGGTGTTTCCACAATCGCGCTGGGGCAGGCTTACACAAGTCTGTCCCAAGCCTGGGACATAGGTCTCGCCAGGGTCTGGGACCGCGGGGACGGATGGGGACGGGAGCAGGCACTCCTTGACTCGTCATCCTGCCCTGAGGGGAGAGCCTGCTGCAGCCCGGCCTTAGGTTTGCTCAGGACGGGGTGAGGAACCCCGACGTCCCTCACACACTTCGAGCCTGTGTGTGCTCGGCATTACGCCTTGCCCAGCCCTTGCCCAACCAAATCCCGTGGCCAGCACTCCCCACTCCTGAATGCAGGCAGGTGAGTGAGGGCCCGAGGAGGGGCCTGGCGAGGGGTTCGGTCAGTAGGACCTGCCTCTGGCCTGCCGGCCTCAGACCCCTCCTCTTCATCCCTTTTTCCAGGAAGGAGTGTCTGGGCTAGAGAGGGGGGTCAGGACTCTGCAGGCAGCAGCCTGTGGGATCAGCAGGGCCGGAGCCGCCCGGGCACGGCCCAGAAGCCAGAGACAAGGCGGGCGGGACTCACCGGGGACACTACTGCCCACTTGCTGCCTCCTCAGGCTCAGCACACCAACAAGTTCCAGGGGAGGCGAACGGCCGGCTGGTGCCAGCTCGCCCAGCTGGGCCAGGGTGGGGAGGAGCTCAGGAGACAGCAGGTGTGGGCATGAGGTGGCATCCCAGGGGGGGCAGGCTCTGCAGCTCTGGGTCATCGATGAAAAGACATGTTTTCGGGGCCAGCCAATGGCTTGGAGGTTAAGGCGCTGAACTCCCACATGGCCAGCCGCAGTTTGAGTCCCAGACCCGGCAGCATGAAAACCACACCGGATGCATGTGCGTGCTCAAAATCCTGAGTTGAGAACGGCGGAGACGGGAACACAAAGACCTGCCGCTGATCTGCAGCTTTGCCCCAGGCAGCCCCGCTGACAGCTGGGACGTTGCTCCCTTAACAGAGAGAGCGCAAGGAGACCGCTTGTTCCATTACCGAAGAGAGAGGGTGGAGGAGAGGGCAGCTGGGGGCGGTTGTCTGGTGGGATTATTCCCTCCTACCCCCCGACTCAGCTGCGGTGGGCGACATGCCGACCTCTGCCCTGCCTGTGGCTTTTCTCCCCCACACCTGGTGTCTTGCCTCCACAAGCCCTTCCTCTGGCAGAGTTTGCTGCGTGCCCAGGTCGACTCCCACCTTAGGCCTCGAGGTGCGGGGACAGGAGAACAGGTAAGGCTCTCGCTCTCACCTGGCGGCCCTTCCAGCAGAGGAAAATCGAAATCGGAATTGATAAATAATCCAGGAATAGATCCGGCCGTGGAAGGTAGCCAGGAGTCTGAGCCACAGCGGCGTGGCTGTGACAGTGGCTACTGTGACCGGTGGACAGGAAATCTGCCCTCTCTACCTAAAACTGCCCTCCCCCCAATGCTGCCTTCGAGTCCAAGCCTGGGCTGGCTCCTGCAGGAGTTCCCCTAACTGGTCTCTGCCACCTGCTTTGTCCACCACCACCCATTTTTCATATAGCTGTCCGGAACAGTTCAAAAATCCCGGGTTGTCAGAGAAGTTACGATGTACTTTTTTGCATGTTTCTTCTGTGCAGAACTCCATCGTGACCTCCCGATGACCCGGTACCACGGCTCTCGTTCAGTGGGTCTGCCCTACAGGCCTCAGACCCGACTACGGAAGCACTGCTCACAGGGGGACACAGGGCTGGGCTCCCGGCAGCCTCTGGCCTGGAGTCTGCAACAGCCGCCCAGCCCTCACTGCTCGTGTGTCTCTGTGTAGACGCCTCACTCCATGCACATGTCTGTTCACTGGCATTGAGCTCATGGCCGCAGCGCCCTGCTGTGGCCTGGACGAAGCTCCTCGGACATGCGTGTGCTCTCCGAAACACAGGCTCGCCTTGCTGCTCATGGGAGCACCGGGAGCCCTTCAGCACTGCGCCTGGGTGGGGGCGGAGCGACTGACACTTTAAACAATAAAACCACCCCCCAAAAAGCCAAAGTATAACAAACAATGGCACTAGGTAGACTGGGCACAGGACACCTGTCATACCTGAGAGCCGACACGGGGAGTGTGGCCCAGCCCTGACCTGCCGCCGGTGACCCACACTTCTTCTTTTTTCTTTTTTTGGAGAGGTTTTCCTATAGGGTGCATGTGCTCACAGACAGACAGAGAGAGACAGAGAGACAGAAAGTGAGAAATCACCCCCCAGGGGGGATGGCCACGCCGCAATCCCTTCTCCTCCATTCTCCTCTCGGGATCTTGGGCACGCATGCACGCACACGCACCCGGCGTGATTTTAAGCAACCAGGTCCGGGACTCGAACCGTGGTCGACTACATGGGAGTCCAGCGACATAGCCATTATGCTAATTGCTGGTCCCAAGACTATCAATTTTTTTTTTTTGGAGAGATTTTCGCTATAGGGCGTGTGTGCTCGCCAGACAGACAGACAGAGACATAGAGACAGAAAGCGAGAAATCACCTCCCAGGAGGGATGGTCACGCCACAATCCCTTCTCCTCCATTCTCCTCTCGGGATCTTGGGCGACCCGGCCGATGAGAGAGGCTCCCTTGCCTTCTGCCTTTGCCAGGAGCACAGGGCACTCTTCTCTGGAGCACGCGGAAAGGACAGCAGTCCTCGCCAGACGGCACACCCTGCTGGCCCTTGATTTTGGTACTACCCGCCTCCAGAACTGGGAAATAAACATTGGCTCATTGGTTACCTGTCTCAGCGATCCTGCTGCAGCACAGGCGGACTGCGACCCATAGACCCTGCCAGACACCGCACATGCACACACACACGTGCACACCGCCCTCCTCCTTCACTCTCTTCCCCCACTTCTGGCCACGGAATCAGGGACATTTCCCCTTGTCCCGTGGTGACGCCTGATTACCCACGGAGCCACATGTGCAGGCTCAGGGGCTGAGTGTGTCGGGCCTCGGCACAGCGCTTAGTGATGAACGCTTGGGAGGATTCGGGGCGCTTCTCCCTAAGGCAAGGACTGCTCCCGTGTGTGGAGATGCCCCAGCCTCTGGCCCGTGCCCAGTGCAGGCAGTGCTAGAGGGGTGCAGGAGTGAGTGGGGAGCACAGCTGCACATTCAATGTCCCACTAGACGTGCCAGCCCGCTGCGTCATGCCAACGCCCTTCGAAGTGTCAGTACTTGCTTCAGCATCTCCATACAGTTAGTTATTGGTCTCTTAATCCACAGTGAAACCTGTTTTACTTCTATTTTTAAAAATTACTTATTTGGGACCAGCAGATGGCATAATGGTTATGGTGTTGGACTCCCACATGGCCGAATGTGGTTCAAGTCCCAGACCCAGCGGCTTCAGACTCAAGCCAGGCTCATGTGCGTGGATGCCCAAAATCCCAAGAGGAAAATGGAGGGGAAGAGATTGCATCATGGCCACTCCTCCTGGAGGGTGATCTCTCACTTTCTCTCTCTCTATCTCCCTGTCTCTCCGGGAACAAACGCACCCTACAGAAAAAATGTCTCTTAAAAAAATGACTTCTTCCTTTTTTGTTGTTTTTATTAGTGCCACACTTCTTCTTTTTTCTTTTTTTGGAGAGGTTTTCCTATAGGGTGCATGTGCTCACAGACAGACAGAGAGAGACAGAGAGACAGAAAGTGAGAAATCACCCCCCAGGGGGGATGGCCACGCCGCAATCCCTTCTCCTCCATTCTCCTCTCGGGATCTTGGGCACGCATGCACATGCGCCTGGCGTGAGTTCAAGCCACCAGGTCCGGGACTCGAACCATGGTTGACTATGTGGGAGTCCAGCGACATAGCCATTACGCTAACTGCTGGTCCCCCACCCACACTTCTTGATTTGCTCGTCTGCGGTTGAGGACAGAATCACGAGTACTGATTTGAGTCTTGTGCACACAGTACTATGGTCTGAACGTGCCCCCGCAGAATCTAGGCACTGCCGACGATGGACTGAAAGGTGGGGGCTGGACCCCGAGGGCTCCTTCCCGTGAGGGGATCCGGCCGATGAGAGAGGCTCCCTTGCCTTCTGCCTTTGCCAGGAGCACAGGGCACTCTTCTCTGGAGCACGCGGAAAGGACAGCAGTCCTCGCCAGACGGCACACCCTGCTGGCCCTTGATTTTGGTACTACCCGCCTCCAGAACTGGGAAATAAACATTGGCTCATTGGTTACCTGTCTCAGCGATCCTGCTGCAGCACAGGCGGACTGCGACCCATAGACCCTGCCAGACACCGCACATGCACACACACACGTGCACACCGCCCTCCTCCTTCACTCTCTTCCCCCACTTCTGGCCACGGAATCAGGGACATTTCCCCTTGTCCCGTGGTGACGCCTGATTACCCACGGAGCCACATGTGCAGGCTCAGGGGCTGAGTGTGTCGGGCCTCGGCACAGCGCTTAGTGATGAACGCTTGGGAGGATTCGGGGCGCTTCTCCCTAAGGCAAGGACTGCTCCCGTGTGTGGAGATGCCCCAGCCTCTGGCCCGTGCCCAGTGCAGGCAGTGCTAGAGGGGTGCAGGAGTGAGTGGGGAGCACAGCTGCACATTCAATGTCCCACTAGACGTGCCAGCCCGCTGCGTCATGCCAACGCCCTTCGAAGTGTCAGTACTTGCTTCAGCATCTCCATACAGTTAGTTATTGGTCTCTTAATCCACAGTGAAACCTGTTTTACTTCTATTTTTAAAAATTACTTATTTGGGACCAGCAGATGGCATAATGGTTATGGTGTTGGACTCCCACATGGCCGAATGTGGTTCAAGTCCCAGACCCAGCGGCTTCAGACTCAAGCCAGGCTCATGTGCGTGGATGCCCAAAATCCCAAGAGGAAAATG